TATATATATATTAAATACATATTTTTAAATCGCAAAGTCACAAATTAGTGAAATTACGTAACTCCGTAACGACTTTCAACATGAGCTAATGGGGTGGCCGTCCATAACTCATTGTTGGAAAGATACAAAGAAAATATTATTTAATCTATATAATATTAAAAAAATAATTAAATTATTAAAAATCTATTAGAGAAAATAAAATAATTCTGAAAAGATAATCAATAACCAATTTTTCACTACTCAACAAAAATCAATCAATAATTTAAAAAAAATAAATAAGTAATATTAGATATAAAAAAATATATATATTTGATGTGTTATTGATTTATTTCTCCTCTTTTTTCTTTCGTGGTGTGAACTTTTATAAGTATTATTGTAAAATCATAAATAAAAATTGTATTTCTTTTCTGTATTTATAACTAATATATATTTTTCATATTTTTTAAATCATAACTTCTTTTATTATTATAATAAAATCTCAAAATCATGAATCTTTATCTCTTTATCGATCATGAACTTTTTTTGTAACGTGTCATTATTATTGATTCAATTTTTTTTGTCCCATAATAATCTTTAATGATAATTTAATGTCCGAATGTTCCATATTTTTAATTTTTTTTTATGTAACTTAGTATTTAAAAGCTTACATGTTTACAATTTTGGATTTAAAAATTGGAGTGAGAAATAATATTTAAATATTTATGAAGTTGGGCAAGATACCAAAAAAAAAGTCCCTGGTATACATAGCAAAAACACATTGACCTCACGCATATTTGTTCGAGCTTTTTAGGGCAAGACTCAAAAATTAGAATTTGGATCTCTCCATTTATTGGTGTCCATTTCTTGTCTAACATTTTTTGCTGCCAAACATTGTTTTTTCTCTCACTATATTTGTGTGTGGTTCGAACTTTCATGTATTCATATGCTAACCGGTGATCGTAAGTAGCTGATCATGACTGATCATAAACACCTTTCAGTACATGCCTGGTTTGTTCTTCTTTCTCTTTCATTCTCCCTAAGTTTTAATTTGCTTTTAAGGGAAAATTAATAGCATAATTTTTTATTGTATCATCAATGTATGCATTCAAGAAAGGAAAATTTGCAGTTGCAGTAGAGACGGATACAGGCACTTGACAAAGGGGGGCCTGAATTTTTCCTGCTATATAATTATTTAAATATTTAACTTCAAATAATATAATGTATTAATTAAAATTTATAAATATTGTTTTGGAAACTTTACAACATTCTTTATTATGTGTTTATCTGAAAATTTTCATATTTTTTCAATTAAATCTCTTTGAATTTTAATTAATACATTATATTATTTTTCATATCAGAAAATAATTTTATACTAAAATAGAATCTATTTATACTAATAATAAATAAATAAAACTTTTAAGGGAGGGGCCAAGCCCCTGCCATGCTGTCCTTTCTGGATTTGTCACTGAATTCCAGTGTTGTAATTAACATATCAAGCAAAAAGTTTGTGAATTAATCATCGATTTGCTTTTGTAACTACTTTTAAATTTTATTAAATCACTCTCTACCTCAGCAGAACTGTTTGACAAAATTTCTTAAAATATTAAAAATGAAACATAGATATGTTTTAGATTCTTTTTTCTTATGAATAAAGGATCTAATTGCTACAGGGAAGCCTCGTAAAATCCATTTGGCAACTTTCTCTCTATTTCCATATTTTAACAAATCTTAAATTTTTTTTGGTATAGAAGATTATCTTTGGAAAATACTAACTATATTTTATAATAAATATAAGACATTTAAAGAATAACATGTCAATTTTGATCATAAAAAAACTCGTTATATGAGATTATATAACTAGGTTGTAAGTTAACTGAAATATATATGTTAACCAAAAATTCATAAAAAGAAATTAAAAATAAATAAATCATAACGATTCATCATGTCACTACATTTTATAATTCAACTATTTTTAGCTAAAAAATATAATATAAGTATCTAAGGTTAACATGTAAACAATTATTGAAAAATACATGTCATATTATAAATATAGAGAGATAGAGGAAGGATTCACTTACTTTAATAGTAAGTTAATTTATACTTACTTCACTTAATAACTCATATTTTATATTAAATTTTAATAATTTATCCATTAAATTAAAAATTCTCAATGCATAGATTACATCTGTAAATTTTTAAAAATTTTGAATATTAATGAAAATATTTTTAAAAATACTACCAAAGTAATATTTTGCTACATTTTAATAATGTTTCAAGTTTTTATAAACTAATTAGTATTAATATAGATTATATTACCATTCATACTTTATAACTTCTACCTACAAATCCTTTAAGAATAAAGATATCCTAAGTTTTTTTTTTCTCAAGAAAATATATCTTAAGTTAGTCACCACCAAATCTAATCATATATAAAAAAAATTATCTTTTTTTAGACCAAAATTTATTTACCTTAAGTTTCACTCTATAATTATATATTTTCTTTATGTGTCATTCTTTTACTTTATGTAAAAATTTAATTTTATAAAATAATTAAAAATTAGTTAATATTTTTTTTGTCATTTTTTACTTGATATGATACTTAATCTAAAAAAATGATATTGAGATAAAAAAGAATATTACTATATCTATATTAAATTTTTGAAAAAAATATATTATCATAATCTATTAATTTAATTTATAATAAATTTTAATAAATATAAGTAAAGAAATGTTGCTTAAAAATGTTAAATATATTAGTGCATAAT